GGTCCCCCTCTCAGGCTACCGCTCACAACCCCTTAACTCACTGTCATGGAATCAAAACAGCCTCCTGTTTCACAGGTTTCTGAGTCTGGAGCTTGCCTTGCTGCCCCAACGTTCCATCCGCGGGGAAGGCCTGTGCATGTAAACTCAGTAGTAACCTCCTTAGTTTTAAGCCGGAGCTGGGGTTGTACTGAGTAGCTACTAAGACCTTTAAACGGGAAATCCCAGCAATAGTTTTCTTGAGTCCTTTGGGGTAGACCCTTGTGCCAACTCCGGAAATGCCCCACATACACACTGAGTTTAGGGTGCACGGTCAAAAGTTGAAAAATAAATTACTGAACTCCGAGTGTCTGGTCCTCACGCTTCTCACCGGCATTTCATCCAACAGATCTAGCGAGGCCTGCTCCGTCCGCACCCCTGCGCACACTTTGTAAGCACCGGGGAGGTGGAGGCTGGGTACGCAACCACGCCCCTTAGGGGGCCGAGAAACTGTGTCCACCTCCTGGCCATGCCCGGGCCAATCCAAAGCCAATTTGTCCCGCTCGACTCCGAGCGCAGCCAATGGGAGCGGGTCACGGCCGGCCAAGCGCGAGACGCTGCTGCGGAGCGGCCCCGGGAGCCCCCAGCCTGTGTCGCGTCCCAGTGGTTGCCTCCTGGTCAGCCCTGCCCAGCATGGCTACCTCGGCGGCTGGCCCGGTGATCATCGTTGGCAGGTAAACGGGGCCCGCGGGGCCCGCGGGAGGGGTGCGGTGGAGAACGCTATGGGTTCTCTCCGCGCTGCGGCGGGTCAGAAAGCTGACTGCGCAGGCCGCGCGCTAAAGCGGTTTAGGGGACTCGCCTGGTGATCCCACCTGCTAGCGTGTCCAAGTAGATGTGCCAGTCTTTCCGTGTGAGCAACATAAAGTCTGTCTGCAAAACTGTGTTGTTAACCATTTCCATTTATGCAAGAGAAAACCAAGCTTAGGCAGTTTAGGTACCCGAGTTCCCAGCCATTAAGGGACTGAGACAGGAAGAACCCAGCTAGGGGGTCTGATGGGAGCGTGTTCTGATCCGCACGGAGGCGCGGGAGCGGGAACAGGTGCTTTTCGAACACACCTGGCATGTCTAATTCTTGGGAGGAATGAGCGCTTTCCGGAGAGGAACGCTGGAGCCCAGTTTGCTAAGGTTGTCAGTGTAACAGCCTAAATTCCATCCAAACTGTTCTGGTTGGTGCACCCACCGTTTATTTTCCTTCTATTTTTTTTTGAAATAAAGACATTTATGTGTACCTTACCATTGGTAAGCTTTCATTGCACTCTATCTACATGTTGATACCTGCTATTGATAGTTAGAAGCACCTTTTTGGGGTTGGCCTTGTGTCCCTTTATACCTCTAAGGTGTTGGCCTACCTGACACCCCTCCTCCCCGCATCAGTTTTACAGTCCTTTAAAGGAAGGAGTCCGGACACCTTCTGTCTGCTTTCTTTTGATCACAGAGCAAGTGGCATTAACTCTGCCCTTGTCCTTTCCAGGCATGTGGTGGGTGTGGCTACCTAGTGAAGGACTATTGGGAAAAAAAACTGCAAGGCAAGCAGAGTCAGGTAACTTTTGTGCCAGGTGTGGTGACTCTGTTTGCCTTACAGTTTTGATGTCCAGGGTTGAGTGTTGTATGTCTCCCACCATGCCTTGGAGTGGTGTCGTGTCTGCACCTAATCAAGGTGAAAGGAGCAAAGTTTCGGGTTGGAGTTGGGATTGGCAAGTGAGTTTATTTCTGATTTTCTGAGGGAAGGTGACAAGGAATTAGACGGAGGATGACAAACTATAATGACCATAGGACTTAGTACAGGATAGAAAGTCTCATCTATACCCACATCCTCAGCACTTAAGCAGACACCCATCTCTGCTCCTGGGGTAGTGCTGCTTTTCTGCCCTTCATCCTTTTCTCATTCCTTCCTTTCTCCTCTCCCTCCCCCTTTCACTGTCTCTCCTGATCCTGTAGGTAATTTAAAAAAACATCCATTTAAATTCCTAAAACCTGGTTGAGTTTCATTCTTGGATTTCAACAGACCGATACAAAGTATTTCAATTTCAGAAGCCTGTTGAGCCATTGTTTTTCTATCAGTACCAGACTCCCTCCTAAAAGTCCTTGTTAGAAATACAGTTTCTATTTAATTCTTCATTGATCTTTTCATAAAGGTCACGCCTCCTCAGGGCCACTTAGCTTTTCAGTGAACCCCAAAGCAAGTCCCTACAGTATGGTGGGCTTGAGAGAGTAAGGGTGTGCATTTAAAGAATTAAGACAGGGGTCTAGGGCTGTGAGAACATAGAAAACCTGGTAATGATAGCTTTAAAAAATGGGAGTAGAAATGGCTATCCTGAAGACAGATTTGCATTTGGGTGGTATCCTTAGGCATTCATTTCTGTTGGCCTTACACATCTATAGTGGTTCTTATTCCTGTATATAACACCATGTTTCTCAGTAACTGTGAAGTTTATTAAACAGAAACCTCCTGTAAACTGGAGTCAGGAGAGCCTGTAGAGGGAGCTCTCATGCCCTATCATTCAATGTCAATTACCCCAAGCAGGAAGAGGCTACTTTCCATCTCCAGCCGGAAGTTTTGCTATTCTGTTACTCCCTCAGGAGGAAGGAGGATCTTCTAGTGAACAACCAACCACTCAGCCAATGAAAAGCCACTACACTTCAACTCCCAGTTTCCACCAATGGACTCCGCTTGCAACAAGTCCCTCTGAACTCTCTCTTTCCTCTGCAGGAGACTGTTCCTCTCCTTTGTCCTCTGGATTTACATGTGCTTTGCCATTAGACTGCATGTCCAAAATTGCAACGCTTTGTTGTTCATAAACCCATTTTGCTGGAGAAATACCTGACTATTTGTTTAAGGTCAACATCTGATATGGCATTGTGTTTCCCAAATTTTAGGCCTTGGGCTTGGTTTAAAATTGGAATCTGTGTTGGGGAGATCAACCTTGTCATATTCCTGGTCCTCCTTTTCACTGGGCACACTCCTTCAGGACCGAGCTGAGGGACCATCTCCTCCAGGAAATGTTCTGCTGCTGGGACCTTCCCCTTAGAGTACAAACTGTATCATCACTGGTTGTGTATCCACCATACCTAGTCCTAGTAGATAGATGTTTGAATGTTTATAACAGAGATTGCATTTTTAAAAAACATGTGCAGTGTGAAGGGCTTGTTAGGATGTTGTTTTATATCATCAAGTAATGCATCCTTGAACTAGTCTCCTTTTTTTTTCTATTCTAAAATTTTACTTTGAGGTAACTACATTTTTTGTAAGAAGCTTTTTGAGGCATGAATTTTTTCAAAGTGCTACTCTATGTATTTTCATGCTAGTTTTTGCATTAACATGGATACACACACACATAGAGACACACAAAACACACAGCAAACTGTAGAATGTCCCAGTTACTTAAGTCAGCTCAGACACTAAATGTGCTCTTTCTAGGAAATTTTTAATAGTTCTTATTGGCAAATATCCCATCACCTACTTAGATCAGGAGTGTAGTAACAGTTTTACTTGAGCTTTTGCCAAGTGAATAAAGTGGCTGTAAAATGGAAAGATACTTTAAAAATTATCTAGAGTGGATTTATTCAAACCTAAATGCCATCAATGATAAAAATAGAACTGAACAAGTTTTATTGCTTAACTTTTCTCTCTTGCTGCAGTGTAACAATAAATTTTTATAAACTTAGGAGCTTTAAAGCATATTAGAATTGCCAGAATGGTAAGGGCCCATTATGTGGTTCCCAGGTACCTAAGGTTTTAGAAGTTAATAAGATGTCACTGGCTCTAATGACAGGAAGCTAATGGCATTTGGGTCTGATGTAAGTTAATACTGAGGACAAGAAAGCCCAAGAGAAACCAAGTCCATGAACTTTTCTTCTCAGTCTGTGTAGTTTGTGCAATCTTTGTACCTCTCTCTGCATTAGTTAGCTCTGTACATTCCCCTTGCCTGTAATGCTCACCTTTCTTCCCACTCCCTCACTTCTTTATCTTGCATATTTCTGCAACCCCAACATCATAATCTTTCAACTCTAGTTCCTGTTACTGACTTACAGTTTCCATATTTTGGGCCCAGTGTTCAGGAGAGGAAACCTGATTGGTTCAGTTTCTCCATGCAGGCCAGGCTACAGATATCATTGAATGCTGATAAGCCATTTGGGCTGCTACAAGTCATGTGTTCACTTCACATCCAGTCATCAGTGACTATGTGTGTGTGGTGGGGTGAAGGGATCCCGGGAATTGGCCTTCTGCTCTTGGTCCTATAGGGGAATGTGGGCAATACAGTAAAAATAAATACTACTTTGTCTTTAATGCCTGTTATATGGGTTACAACTAATTTCCCAAGTTTTTTAAATAAAAATTCTCAAACACACAGGAAAGTTCAAAGTATAGAAAAAAGAATACCGACACACTCACCTGTATTCAACAATTGTAAAGAAATTGTTATATTTGCTTTTTCAATGTACAACTTCACCAATTCTGAATATTAGATGGTTGGGTTTTTGTTGCTGTTTTTTGGGGTTTTTTTGCTTATATAAATTTTACTGTGAATAAATATCTTTGTGCATTGCCCATAGGAACTTAAAATAAATTCCAGAAGTAAAATGTCTGGGTCAAATATTACAAATGCTTACAGTTTTGATACGGGGTGTTAGATTGCCTCCAGATACTTTACATCAGTTTTATCCCCCCAAGATTTTTTGTATGTTCATTTCTCCACAATGCAACATGTGGAGAAATGTCAGCAACATGAAGCATTGTCAGTCTTTTTAATTTCTGCCATTCTGATCTATATCTTATTTGCTATTATTAGACTAACAGTAGAATCTGCTTTCAACTTAGTTATTGCCTGTTCATACACTTTTTTAAAGGCTTTTCCCCTCATGTTTGTTGCATTCATCTTTTACTTCTGGGTTTATAGGAACTTTTGTATATTTATATATTATAAATATTATTTCTTCTTGGACATTTGTCTTATGGTGACTCTTTTTGCCACAAACAAAGTTAAGATCAGTTTATTTGGCAAACACTGTTCAAACATGAGGACCATCGTGGCTTGGAGTATTGTAAAAATGTCTTTGATGGAAATATTGGAAACTAGTGTTTAAGTGTGAATATTCCCCTCTCCCTACTGCATGTAGCCCCCTTGGAGATGTGACAAACTTCTGGGTGATTTTAGCATATAGAAGAGCCGAGAGTGGGACTAGGTTTCCTGATACAAACTAACTACTGAGAGGAATGAATGAATTATAACACTAGGTAATTGTTTAAGTGACCACTGACCTTTAGAAAAATAATGTGAGCCACAAATGCAAGTCACATACATAATTAAATTTTCTCTTAGTTAACTTAAAAAAGTAAAAAGAAAAGATGAAATTAATTTTAATAAGTTTAATTAGCATAATATTTCCAGAGTATTATTTCAACATGTAATTTATAAATTATAAATATTAATATTTCACATAAAATATTAATAACAAAATAATTTACTTTTTGGGGGGTATTGTCTTCAAAATCCAGTGTATATTTGACACCTGCAATACGCCTCACTTCATTCTGGTGCTTGACCTTAAAGAAATAGCCAGATGTTTCTCCAGCAAAATAGGTTTATTCAGAACAACAAAGACTTGCAATTCAGTATCTGTGGTCTTCTTGCAAAGCACAGACAAGTCCTGAGAAAAAAGGAGAGGGACACTCTTTTGTAGAGGAGAAGAGGAAGTTGGGGATCTGTAAAGAGTTCTTCCTGTTGGGCTCTGCCATCTCAGGCATTAGAGTGCCCCTTTGGCTTCCCAACTTCATTTTAAATGAGGTTTCTGTTTAGGAATTTTTCATTAGCCACTTGCCAAGTGCTTAACAGCCTCATTTGGCTGGTGGCTACTGTCCTGGACATGTGGGTTTAAGTAATGATGTAACCTTTGTTAATTAAGAAAGCAGATCTTCAGAAAGCTGCCTTCTCCCCTTCCTTTGTGGCTGCCACTGCAGTGCAGACTCATTTGAGAGGTGCTTAGACTTATCTTGAAAAAGCAAGTCAAGTTGTAGAAGGAGTTTTACTGAATGAGATGAATGTGTTATGTTTTCCTTTATGGAAAGTCTTAACAGCAGCTATAGCACTTTGGGCTTTTATAAAGAGACCAGCTGAAGCACCTCACTCTTCTACCTTTGTTCAGCTTTTCCAGTTCCCCGTGCCTGGCACTTGCAGTTCACTTTTCCTTTGCACCAGTTCTCTCAGTTTCACTGTGTGGTGGACACAGGGTGCCAGGGGACCCAATAGACAGATTGTTGCTTTAAAGGCCAGTTGGAGCGCTCATTCCTCAGGAAGTCAGGGACAGGTGTCTGATCAGCATGTGGGCAAAGGCTTTTACATGTATGGATGAGTCATTTTGTTGGAGTAAAGAAAATTCCCTTTTTCAGAAATATTTTTATGTCCTATGTCTTAAGTACAGCAAAGTGCAGAAATCCTGTATATAAAGCTCGACGGTTATCACAGTGAATACACCATTGTAAACCCCACTGTGAAAGTATTCTTCATTCAAGCTTAGGCTGCATTAAGGGCTCCTTTTATGGGTAAATAAGTCACCATATGTTTCAACTGTTATGGTAAAGGTAATAGGAGGAAAAATGTTTAAAGTTAATGGCTGGTCAATTGGGACAACTGGTGAATATTAATTGGCCTTCTAACTAACCATCTTCCTGTTCTGGCGGGCGGGGGTGGGAGCGGGGAGAAAGAGAGATTGATTGTTTTCGAAGAAGAGAAAGATGTGTTCATGCAGGACTGCCTCTCTCAAAACTCTTGAGTTTCTTTTTTTCTTCATGTGTTCTAGACAACTTAGTCCAGTGAAACATTCTGTAAAGATGGAAATACCTTCTATATACCCTTGCCGTCCAAGGTGGTAGCCACTATCACATGTGGCTGTTGAGTACTTGAGATGTGTTTTAAGCTGAGTTTTAAAATTTATTTATTTTTAATTACATGGCCACATGTGGCTAGAGTCTGTCATTGGACAGTGCAGGTTCAGAGCACAGAGCATTTCATAAAAAATTTATAGGCACTTGATGTGTAAATTTTAATTTTAAAACATTTACTATTGTAGAAGAATGTGGAGTAAAATCTACTGTGTAATCCCTCTCCCTTCTTTAGAAGTTCAGTAGAGGTTATTTCAGTTGTTTTTACTGTACTTTCTTACTAAATGGCTTCACATAAGAAACCTTTTAAGAACATGGTAGTCTTAATGACCCTTATACATATTAAAGGCTTAACTTAAGTGAGTATCATGTGAGAGTTAGAAGCTCAGATAGCACTTCTGTGGCATTAGTATTTTTCAGGCTCTCTCCTTCAATCACTTGGGCTCAGAAGCTATGACAGAAGCTGTGGGGACTGTAACTATCTCTGGTGCCAGGCCCTTCCTATGCTTGGAACCTGAACAACAGATTAGCTGAATAAAGAGGAAGTGGGGGTGGGGGGAATGGAGTGGGAGAATGCTTTCTGGAGCCCACCCTGTCACTGCTATTCTAGCCTCCCTTCCCCAAAGCAGCTCATATAATTGCTACAGTGAAATAACACCACAACTGAGACAAGCATGCATTTATTATACATTCAGGCCATCCGCAAGCTAAGTAAACTTAGCTGGTTACTGTTTCCTGGATGCTGGCAGAGGATGTGAGACTCCAGGGTCAGAGACAAAGGACTTTATAAATCACAGCACAGCAGGCAGCATGAATATTACACTTAACATTGGTCCTCCTTCTCCCCAAGTCCCATGGGGGCAAAGTGAGGGGCCAGGTGAACACCTGCAGATTCAGTGAGTATGTTTGAGGGGAGGGACATTGAACTTGAGAAAGCCACCGTTTTTATAGTAAGAGGTAAGCAAGCTTGCTATTTGTCATTGACATTGCTCTGCAAACATAACTCTTGAGAAATGGTTTGGGACCTAGCAGTTTATTTGTTGGAGAACATGGGTCATTTGTTGTAAATTTCCCGGATTCTGCAATTTGCTGAATGTAACCCTATAATATCATTTAATACATTCATCTGTCCTTTTATTTCCAATATATCTGAAACAGTGGGCATAATGTAGTGGTAAGGACTCAAGAGTCAGACTGCTGGGGCTGCCTCAGCTCCAGAACTTAAAGGCTGTATGGATCATCTTGATCCACCCATGCCTCAGTTCTCCTTTGTATAAAATGGAATAATAATAGCACTGACCTTGTAGGATTGTTGTAAAGATTAACAGAGGTGAGACATATAACATGTTTAATGTTGCCTGGTACCTAATACATGCTCCAGTGCCGGTGGTGATAGAAGTTAATTATTTATTTAAAGAGACAGGGGAACTATTACCTGGTCTTCAGGGTAAGCGACTTGCCTAAGACAGTGCTCAGATGGAGGTTCCCATAGGCGTCTGTCATGTGCAGGACACCCTGCCACCTCCCTACTGTAACTTTTTGTTTCAGTGTGAGTGCATATTAACTGCCTGTCTGATGGTGCTCCATGTGCAATATTAATGCTGGACTGGAGTCGAGGATTCAGGAGCTCCTCATGGAAACAAAACATTTAAAATCAATCCAGGAATCAAAATGTGTAATTTTAAGACATTTAATACTTTAAGAATGGGATGCTGAATAATTTTTAAAAAATTATTCTGGGTTAAGAATGAAAAACTGTTCAGTTACTAAGTTAACTGGCAGCCTCCCTGGATTTTCTCTCCCTTTAGTGGCCTCATTGGAAGAAGCTGGGCCATGTTGTTTGCCAGTGGAGGCTACAGGGTGAAACTGTATGACATTGAGCAACAGCAGATAACAAACGCCCTGGAAAACATCAGGTAAGTGGCTGGAACCTCTGGGAGGAGCACTGACTCTGTTGCTTTCAGAGGAGATTTATCACATGCCCAAGGCCATCAACATCTGTGACTTTGCTCTTTCACTGCACAGCCGTTACATTGCCATTGAGCTGGTAAAGACCAGGCCTACAGCAGTTGAGACATGAATTTAAGAAGGGGCTCAAGTTGTTAGGAAAGGACCCTTAAGGTTGTAAAGATGTGTGATGAGAGTAAGGGAACTGAATATAAATCTCAGGCTGCCAACCTGAGTGGGTTTGTAAACTCTTGCTGTGTTCCACAGGGCTGCAGGTTTGGGTGTCCTACCTTCTCTCTGGGCAGGCGAGCTGGCTTTCACCAAGTGAGAGTCACAACTGCATGGGCAATACCTTTTGGGAACAGAGGTCCTGAGATTTATTTTGACCTATTGATCTAATTACTGCAGGACTCAGGTTAACCATGATACCTGTAGTAGATAAAGGTATGAGAATAGATGAGCTTACCAGATGCTGAGGGGTGAATTTTAGATGTAACCATAGGGTGTTGAAGAAGAATAGGAGCCAAAGGGGAAAGGATGAGAATGGGGAGGTCAGAGATAGAAGAGCCAAGCTAATGCAATGTGCTGGAAGGCAAGGTACTGAGATTCCCTTTACCTGAGATGACGGTCACTGAACACAATTTGACCATCTCAGATGTTGTTTTGTTTAGGTGGTTATTATCCTTCTTTGGGGGTTGTCCATGAATATGTAACCTGAATTTTCATTTTTGTATAACTGAAATATGCTTTATCATTTACTCTATGATAAGACTAATATGTAGGGTATGATATCAGGCTATAGGCATCAAAGAATTATATACCTGAGTCCAATTCTGTGGTGTAACAGATTAAGAACCTAAAACCCAGAGAAGTCAAATTGCTTCGTACATATAGTGACATGCAGCCAATATCAAGATAAAATGTCTATTTAAAAAAACAAACCAAACAAAAACCAAAAAAAAAAAAAAAAAAAAGAAAGGACCACTATAAAAGAAAAGAAACAAGAACTATAAAGCCCTCCCTGCTCCCGGCACCAATGCTTTATTATGAACTGTTATGGGAGGAAGAGGAATTGACATAAACACCTACTAAATTCCAGGCATGTGCTATTTACAAAGGATATTCAGAGGACTAAGTCAGATACAGTCCTGTCCACCATGGAGCTTATGGTCTAGTTATCTTACCATATTAATTCTCATAGTAAACCCTATGAAGCAGATATTATTGCCATTTTATGAGAACAGTTAGGTCTATTAATGGTCAGTAACCTGTTCACAGACCCAGTAAGATAAAAGATTTTAGCTCTGGTCTATCTACTTGGCTTGTTTTTTTTTTTTAAATCATTTTTAATGACTATTCTGTTACAGAATAGTAATTAAAGTTGTCCCAGTTTTCCCCCCTTGCCCTCCACTGCCCATTCCAAGCCCTACTCGCACAGTCAGTTCCCACACTGTTATCCAGGTCTGTGGGTCCTAGGGCAAGGGAAATAAAGGAAAAAATAAACAAATGGGAATACATCAAACTAAAAAGCTTCTGCATGGCTAAAGAAACCATCATCAGAATGAACAGAGAACTGACTGTATGGGAGAACATATTTGCCAATGATACATCGGACAAGGATTTGATCTCCAAATATATTAAAAACTTATACAATACCAGGAAGACAAACTATCTGATTAAAAATTGGACAAAGGACTTGAATAGACACTTCTTCAAGGAGGGCATAACTGAATGGCCCATAGACATGGAAAAGATGCTCAACATCACTAGCCATCAGAGAGATGAAAATTAAAACCGCAATGAGGTACCACCTCACACCAGTCAGAATGGCCGTCATGAACAAATCAACAAACAACAGGTGCTGGCGAGGCTGTGGAGAAAAGGGAACCCTAGGGCACTGTTGGTGGGAATGCAGACTGGTGCAGCCACTGTGGAAAATAGTATGGAATTCCCTCAAAAACTAAAAATGGAACTGCCTTTTGACCCAGTGATTCTGCTGCTGGGAATGTACCCTAAGAGTCCTGAATCACCAATTCAAAAGAATTAATGCACCCCTGTGTTCATAGCATCACTACATACAATAGCCAAGTGCTGAAAACAGCCTAAGTACCAATCAGTAAATGAGTCAATCTATTTGCATGTTAAGGGTGAGTCTGAGCTCTTCAGTGTTCAACTATTTGCTTTATAGAGATCCTGCAACTACTACTATAAATATAACTTAATGATACATGCACTCAGATCACTTACGGTAGTTTATGAAGAATACAATAAAATGAACATTTATAAACCTACTACCCAACTTGAGAACATTATCAGTACCCTCTGTACACTTTGTGGGTTTGATCTTTCTGCCTTCCCACTAGAAGCAACAAATACCGCTTACTTTGTATTTACCATTACCTTGCCTAAAAAATAGTTTTATAATATATAGGTATTCCTAAATGATATATGGTTTAGTTTTGTTCATTTTTATGCTTTATGAAAATATTGTTGAGATTCATCTGTGTTGTTGCTTGCAGCTATAGTACATCTATTTTCATTACTATAATATTCTACTGTGTGACTTTGCTATAATTTATTTCTCTTTTATCCTTTTGATGAACATTAGAGCTGTTTCCAGTTTGGGGCATATGTCGCTCAGTGCGTAAGTCCAAGAATGTCTACAGGGTACCTACTGACAAGTGAGATTGCTGGGCCTATTTTTCCTTCTGGTATTGAACTAACTTAATATCTTTTAAGCTCTCCTTTATACTTTCTTTCTCCCCTCTCTTTGGAATATATTCTGGGTACACTTTTTAGGTCTTTCTTCCAGTTCACTCACTCTAGGTTTAGCTGTCTAATCTGTTATGTTAACTATCCACTAAGTTTATTTCAATAATTAAATTTTCATTTTAGAAGTTCACTTTGCTTCTTTTCCAGATATATCTGTTTATTTTTAATAGTTTCTCATTGTTTGCTCATTCTTTGTGGTTCCACTTTTCAGATTTTTGAGCATTTAATACACATTGTCTTATACTATAATACCTGAGGTTGTCTTAGATTGGAATCTCAGGAGCAGGTCCTGAGATGAAGGTTCATGAGCCAGTGGTTGATTAAGGAAGTGCTCCCAGGAGAAGCCAGTGTGGGATTGAGGGGACAGCATAAGGAAGACAAAGAAGCCAGCTGAGGGCTTGATTTCCAAAGTGCCAGGCTCATCAAGATTCCCAGGGTAGTTCTGGAGCATGAAGTACTCTGCACAACCTGTCACCCCTGAATGTAAGAGAGCTTAGCTTTCATATTCCCATATGGACCTTCCTTGGTTGGTGTGAACTCAGGTACTTCCAGGCCTCCGGTCCAGGTCCAGTCTAGGTCCACTCAGAGGGAGAGGGCAGGCAGGAACCTTTAGCACCGAAGAATTCAAAAGCTGGGGGTTGACACCCACTGCTGATTAAAGGGATTCAGAGATTTGGGTGGAACGCAGATGGCCTCCACTATAAAAGTCATTGGGGACTTTAAATAAAACATTTTCTTTTTCCTGACTGATTCCTACTTTCATTCATTAAAAATTGCTGATTGAGCACCTCCTATGTGCGTCTTAGCCCTAGGAGTTTAGTAGTAAACACAGTAGACTAAGGTTTCTGGTCTTGGGGACTCACATTCTACAGGGAGAGGAAAGAGTGAGAAGTAGGTTGTCCAAAATGAATTCCTGGAACATACGGTGTGTCATATCAGGATTTGAAGACTCCAGCAGTCGGCCACACCTGGGCTACAGCCTGTTTTGTGTTTCCCATGAGCTAAGATTGGTTTTATATTTTTAAGGTTTATAAAATAAAAGAAGAATATGTAACGGAGACCTTATGCAGCCACAAAGCCTAATGTATTATTATGTGGCCTTTTACAGAAAAAGTTTCTTGAGCTCCATGTTAAATGGTTGAAATTTTGACCTGTGGGTTTTCCCTCCATGCCACCATGCAATTCTCTGACACCAGCTGGGTGTCTTACAATCAGTTTGCATGGAGACAGCATCAGATTTCACAAGCTAAGGGCTCAGTTCCACAAGACCATCATCCTCCACTTCAGAGTCTAGGTTGTAACCTGGGCTTCTGACCAATTGGCTATAAATCAGAGTCTCCCACCATCACTGCTTAGATTCAGTTAATTTGCTAGAGAAGCTCACAGAACATGGGCTGCAAGTGTGCTTATTAGGTCACCTGTTTATTATAAAGAGATAAACTCAGGAACAGCAAGATGGAGAGATGCCTGGAGCAAGGTTTGCGGAAAGGAGTGTTGACCTTCTATGCTCTCTGGGAGTGCCACTCTCCCCAAATCTCCCTGTGTTCACCAACCCAGAAGATCCCTGAACCCTGTCGTTTTGCGGTTTTATATAGGCTTTATTTCATAGGCATAATTGACTAAATCATTGGCCATTGGTGATTGAACTCAGTCTCCAGCTTCTCTCCCTTCCCCTGTCAAGACTGCTAGCTTGTTACTTTTAGCTGAATAATATTCCATTGTCTGGATGTACTAGAGTTATCTTATCCACTCAGCTATTGAAAGACATTTTGGTTGCTTCCAAGTTTGACAGTCATGAACAAAGCATCTATGTACAGGTTTTGGTGTGGACAAACATTTCACATCTTTTGGGTAAATCCTGAGGAGTGCAAATGCTGGACCGTATGGTAAGAGTATGTTTAATTTTGTAAGAAGCCACCAAACTGTCTTTCAAAGTGGCTGCGCCATTTTGCATTTCCAGTAGCAATTAATGAGTTCTTGTTATTCCACATTCTCCCCAGCATTTGGTGCTGTCAGTATTCTGGATTTTGGCTATTTTGATAGGCATGTAGTGGTAGCACATTTTAATTTGAACTTCCCTGATGACATATGATGTGAGCACCTTTTCACATGCTTATTTGCCATTTATATATCTTCTTTGAGTTTTTTCTATTTTCCTTTTTTTTTTTTTGATTAAAGGAGGAGCTTTGAAAATTAT